GGCAGGGCAGCGGTTGCAGTGAGCGAGATTGCAGCCACTGCACTCCAGCCTGGGTGACAGAGCAAGACTCTGTCTTAGAAAAAGAAGAAGGAAGGAAGGAAGGAAGGGAGGGAGGAGGGAGGGAGGGAGAAGGAAGAAGCAATCAGAAGTGCTCATCTCATGTCATCAGATCTATCATCCTCCTGCTGCCAATCTGTACCCATATTCTTCGATACTCTCTGCCTTTCTTCGCGTAACAATGAAGAAAGTTGCTCCCATTCGAGGCCAGCATGAGTAAACCTCTCTTCCTCATTGAGAGATTCCTGCAGGTTATGTCATCTTATGTTGCGCGGCAGATTTTTCGCGCGGTTCGGGGATCGTTTCCCATGCCTCCTGGGTTCAAGCAATTCTCCTGCCTCAGCCTCCCAAGTAGCTGGGATTACAGGCATGTACCATCACACCCAGCTAAGTTTTGTATTTTTAGTCGAGACGGGGTTTCACCATGTTGGCCAGGCTGGTCTCAAACTCCTAACCTCAAGTGATCCGCCTGCCTCGGCCTCCCAAAGTGCTGGGATTACAGGCGTGAGCCACCGCGCCTGGCCAACTTTCTAATTAAAGAGAGATAAGAGAATTACCAGAGACCTAGAGTTGTGAGTCTAGAGTGAGACCAATCAGAATGTTTGTGCAATTTTCTCCTGCCAAGTTCAAAGCAGATATGAAGCAAGTGAAAAGTTGGATTGGTCAGGATTGGGGTTTTGCCTGCCAAGTATGAAAGAGAGGCAAGGATGCTATGGGTGTTTGCAAGAGACTGCTAGGATAATGGGCAATGGGAATTAAGTAGTGAAAGGAGGGAAGTGAGAACATGAGGGGGATAATGGATAATAATAATATAATGGCAAACCCTACATGGTGGTTACTGGGTGGCAGGCACTGGTTTTAGCTTATTACATATAATAACATGTAATCTTATGACTACATTGGACAGTGAAAAAGTGCAAAGGTCAGTGAATCAGAAGTCTCCTAGGAAGCCAAAGAATCAATGGGGTGGGAATATTTGAATAAATGAACCTGGAGGCGAAGGAGACAGACAGACTTGGGTGTGTGTAACCGCTGTCATCTGTTATAACTGTGTGACTGCAAGAAAGGCACTTTGCCTCTCTGACTTTCTATGGCATAAGCCAACAATAACCTATGCCTTTCAGTTTTCAGCCAGTTGTGTTTTTGTTACCTGCAACCAAGGGTTCTGACAATTATAATACAATTGTAATTACACAATTATGAGGATAGAGTGCTGGAGTATGTGGCTCACAGTGAATTTCTACAGTCACTAGCTCTCTTCCTTTTCCTCTTCCAGCGATGACCTCCAAAAGCAGCAAATGTCTCTTGTATTATTCCAGGAGCTTGAACTTGTGCTGGTCACAGCAGAGACGTGCTCTGAGGACACAATAGTTCTCCATCACATAAAGGTTAAAACTCAAGTTCCTAAACAAGGACCTTGTCCACACCTGTCCATATTTCCAGTCCAATATCTTGACCTTCCTCCCTCCTCAAACTTTGCCCTCCAGCTACTAGAGGTTCCCAGAAGAGACGACGCAATTCTCCCAACCTCTCACCTCTTGCACATGCTGTTTCCTCTGTCTGGATTTACTAGTTCCAAACTCAAGATGAGCTCTTTCTTCTCCAGAAAACTTCCCTGATTTAACAGCCAGACACAGGTGAGGGTCTCCAGTTCTCACTGAACTTCATAGCACTTCCATTGTAGCAGCTGCCACATTGATAGTAATTGATAGTTTGAGTACCCATCCCACCTAAGGATGATGTGGCAGGTGCCCAGGGTGCATCCCTTCCAACCAAGAACAAGGTGCGTCAGGCCATGGTCCATACTCAGCTCCTCTGATGTCTTCACCTTCACCTCTCTCTTCATAAGCCTTTCACTTCCCTAACAAGCATGCGAGGACTGCCCCCACTTTACTCACCCCTCTCCCGAATACTCTTTGAGCTCATGTAACCAGACTACATCTGCTCACCCTTCAAGACTCTGTCTAGTCTCTACCTCCTCTATGCAGCTTTTCCTGCCCAACCCTCTGCACTGCAGGTCCTGTTAGGTATTTCTCCTGTGTTACCCCATCTTCCTGAGTCCCCTATTATAACTCTTGCCATCATCACTTCCCTGTCATGACCCGTTCTCTTATCTGTCTCTAATGATCTGTGAGATTCTTGAGAATTGAGAGGTTTGCATTCAAATCTGTGTTCTCCCTGCCTATCACTAGTAGTTATTAAATATTTCTTGAATGAATGACAAGATAGAGATTCTGGCTCTTTGGAATTGAGGGTCAGACTCAGGGTTATGGTGATGCTATTCAGGTTCTAATTCCCATAAAGCCTGGGGTGGGGGCAGCAGGTGCTACCTCCTTTGTAACTTTAAGAGGATAGGGGAAGGTATCTGGGTCATAACTGTAATTGCCACCAGAACCACCTGATGTAGGTGTTATGCCCTATTTAAATAGATGTGGAACCTGAGACTCAGAGAAGTGGAATGCCTGCAGTAGGTCCTACAGCTGGAAAATACCTCAAGCCTATTTCAAGGTTCTTACAGAATTTCTGCAAAATGGAAGGTGGTAAAGAGTTGCCCTGTGTGCTTTGAGACAGGTTCTTTGCACCTGTTCTCTTATGTCTCTAGTGATCTGTGAGATCCTTGAGCTGTCAAACACCTACCTTAGACATGCATTTCCACAAGGCCTGTCCCTTTCTTTTCCTAGCTATGGCATTATTTCTCTCTCACTTCCAGAGCCCTGCAACTCAATCACACCACATAGACCATGACTACTCTTTAGCTAACTTAATTCTGGGACTGCTCAGTGGAGGTTATCACATAATGACTATTGATGAAAAGAGTTAAACTTTGTAAAATATTTTAAGAAATTTATTCTGAGCCAAATATGAGTGACCATGGCCCGTGACACAGCCCTTAGGAGGTCCTGAGAACATGTGCCCAAGGTGGCCGGGGTACAGCTTAGTTTTATATATTTTAAGAAGGCATGAAACATCAATCAAATACATTTAAGAAATACATTGGTTTGGTTCAGAAAAGCGGGACAACTTAATGCGGGGGCTTCAAGGCTATAGGTACATTTAAACATCTTTTGGTTGACAATTGGTTGAGTTTATCTGAAAACCTGGGATCACTGGAAAGGAATGTTCAGGTTAAGGTAAAGGATTGTGGACCAAGTTTTATTGTGCAGAGGAATCTTTTAGATAGCAGCGTTTAGAGAGAGCAGGTTGTAAAATGTTCCTTACCAGATTAAAAGGATGCCTGGTTCTTAGTTGGTTATCTCCCGGGTGTGGGAAGGAAGGAAAACAAAGGAGAAAGGGGATATAGAACGTGGATTTTTCCCACAAGAGACTTTGCAGGGCAATTTTAAGGTATGGCAATGAAATATCATTTCGGGTAAAACATTTTGATTTTCTTCCTTGTTATGCCAGAGTCCGATTGGAAAGTAAGTCATGATATACACGGTCAAAACCCATCTGACGAGAATTTATGGTTTTTGTAGGCCATGACTCCCCAGACCCCTTAGATAGGAATTTGGGCAAGACAAAAAATCGCAGCTTAGTCTTCACGATCAACCCCACATGCCAGGCCTTGTGGTAGGCACCTAACATTCATTCAGTAACTACAGTAACTCTGTCCATTGTGTTCGGAGCAAGCTAAAAAGGCTGGATTGCTGGGGAAATGGAAAGAAGCCAGCACTAGGGGACTGGGTTCAAGTCTGGAAGGAAGGAGGGGTTGTTTAGCCCTAACTTTGCACTAAAGTAACCTTGGCTGAGTAATTTAGCCATCTAAGAAAACGAAGCGATAGACACCCCAGATGATCTCTGAGCTCCCTTGAAGATATCTGTATGAAAGATTCTCTCCTTTCCATGTCCCTTCCGTGCCACTATTCCGAGCATCAGCCTGATCCTAGGAGTGGTGACGTCCTGCTCAGCCGGGGGCTGCTCCTCAGTTCCCATAGAGGCAAGTCCGGGTCCTGACTTGGCCAATGGCCCTGGAGGCCGCTGAGCTCCTCAGGCCCACAGCCCAGAGAAGTGGGCGATAGGTCATTCCAGGACAAGGGGGCGGAGGCTCCAAGAAACTACGACTCCCAGGAGGCCACTGGGTGCCATCCGGCAGCTTGGGCCTGGTGCATGCTGGGAGCTGTAAGCGGCCTCCCGCCGCGCTTCATTGTTAAGACCGCTAGGCCAGGTACCCCGCGCGCATGTCCAGTCACGTCCCAACTAATTGGGCTTCTTTCCTTCCTGCAGGCCTCTTCTCTTTCCGGTCTTGCTGAGGCGCTCCTTTCCCCGCCCCGCCTCCGCCCTCTTTTCAGGGAATTTCGAAGGGGCGTGGCCTCCGGCAAGCGCGTCCCCAGGGGTGTGTATACGCGCGTTCACGGGAGGTTAAAGAGGGAGGGGACTAAACCTTGGGTGTGGGAGGCAGAGAGAAGACCGCGGGGAACGGAAAGCGCATGCGTCCTAGTGGTGCTGCAGCGCCCGGGGAGCCGTGGAGGGGAGGGGTGGAAAACGGGCGAGGGGGACTGACGCACGCGCACTGGGACACCAGATCCCCGCCTCCTGCTCCAGGTTTCCCCTCCTCCTTCACCACCCTCCCGGAAGTGGACCCGCCCTCGCGCCCACCAGCGGCCACCCCCCTGCGACAGGCCCCGCCCACAAGGCTCCGCCCCTCCGGCTCTCCGCCCCCTCCTCTGGTAGTGGCGCCGGCTTGCATCCCGGTCGTGGCGGTTTTGGTGCCTGAAGCAGGGAGCGCGGAGTCGTTCCCGAGAGAGGAGGCCAGGCTATGCTCGCCGGTTTCCGGCGTTCCGCTCCGGTCAGCCAGAGTCTCTGTCTCAACCTGTGTCCGTGCCCCAGCAGTCTCCTCAGCCGGGCCTCGCGGCGCGATTGGCGGCGGCGCCCCAGGCGCGCCCCCTCCTCCGATGGCGGCGGAGATCCAGCCCAAGCCTCTGACCCGCAAGCCGATCCTGCTGCAGCGGATGGAGGGGTCCCAGGAGGTGGTGAATATGGCCGTGATCGTGCCCAAAGAGGAGGGCGTCATCAGCGTCTCGGAGGACAGGTATGGACTGCTGCCCTTCTGCCGCGAGGAGGGGCGGGACGGGCCGACGGTCCCCGAGCCCGCGTCAGGGGCTGTGCCTCCGCGTCGGCGCGAGTGTAGACTTGCTCCCCCAAGTTTTACTGTAATGCGCCTCTTGGCGGTGCCGGTGTCCAGCTGCGCGCAGCGTCCGCTGCGTGGCTCCGGGAGCTGGGACGGCGGAGTGCGCTCCGGCTTCACCCTTGCGGGAGCCAGGTGGCCCTCGGGGTAACGGTGCGCCGGCGGGACTTTGGTCCATCCCTGAGGACAGGAGGGAAAAAGGGAGAAGCCGCCCGGCCCTGCAGGTGTGTGCTTGGGAAACGATGCCCTGAGCCTCCTCTGCAAGATAACCAAGGGGTTGGGGTACTCTCTGCTACAGCTCCCAGGGTTTCAAACGGGGAAAGCAAATGCCACTCCCTTCTCCCAGACATTCCCACCGAATCCAGATAGCCCAGACATCTTAGGCTGAATTCAGTGAATGTTTTAAGTTGTGCCAAGAGTGAGTTTAGGCTTCTGTGTGGTGCCTTCTCTCCTTTCCCCTCCTTATCTCTTGGAACTCAAGGAGAAGCACGTAGAACTTGTAACGGATCACTGCTGCAAATAGCTCTTGAGTTCCTTCCCTTTGCCTGTTTCCTTTATTTTTACTTAATTTTGCTTAATTTGCAGAAGTGGAACTAGTTGTTCTGCCTTCACATATTCTCCCTGTTTTGCGTTTTCGCTTTAACTGAGTGTCCTTTAATAATTGCAGAAATAAAGCTGATGAAGCTAATTTCTAGAGGAATGTTGCTTGAAGATAGTGTTATGATAATTTGTCTGGAATTGTTTCTTTGCTAAAATCCATATAAGCATTCTTAAAAAAGAACACTGTAGAGGTACATAACACAGGGGTTTTACAGTAGGTAGGTTTTCTTAATATAAGTTCAAATCATGCAGAGGTAAAGTGTCCTTTCTTGGTGACTCTCAAAATTGAGAGGCTAAGCAACAAAGTGCTCATTGCTGTCTTTATAGTCGTTTCAGCACTTTGCATAGTGTGTGGCCTCAAAAATTGAGCTTGATAGGTTTGTTCATGTCTTATTCAGTGTAATTAGGATAAGTATACTAATGACATATTCTTGTCTACATCATGTTCGATACAAATGGCGCCTGATTAATTTCCAATGCAGATCCAATGGAAAACATTGTAAACATACACCAGCAAGCATTCTGCAATAAACAGAAGAAATTCATGGCTGAAATGGAGTACATGGATGTAGGACCCTTTTGAAATTCGCAGAGAAGCTTTACAAGAAAGTTTGATTTTTTTCCATAAAGGCAAAATTTTATTAAAAAGACTGCTTCTGGACCTAGAAATTCTTTGTCACAGTATTGTTTTTATGGGATATATTCCATAAAATATATTGAAGGAATATATTGGTAGATGTCACTTTCCCAGTCTGTAACTACTGGAGATGGAACTAATCAATTTCTAACTGCTGTGGAAAATTCATATGCAAGTTTATGGAATCAAGAAAAGGAGAAAGGTAGTTAAACCTAAGCTCCTTTAATATTTTATTTATTTATTTTTTTAAGACTAGTCAAGTATGGTAGTGAGAAGGGGAGAAGAATAGAACAAGGAGTTCAATCTGTAACTGACTGTGAACAATTGAGATAATAAAACTACCTTCAGACCAGCCTAAGCTCCTTTAATATTAAGTTGTTATTATAGTATTGAAACTTCTGATTCCCATTTCACTACATTTACCTTGAAGTAAACAGCTTTACTGGGGTATATTTTCAAGTGTTTGGAGACGCTGAAGTAGTGTATATGAATGAAACTGAAGAATAAATTTTATTTTATTATAGGATGAAAGAAATGCAATGTTTAGCTATATCTTAGCCTAATTTTCACTTTCCTAGTTTACAGTGTAAATAACAGAAATTATTTTGTCATGGAGTTACTGTTAAATAAGGTTTACCCATAAGCCTGGAATTATTATTAATATACATTTTTTATTATTCAAGTTGACAAGTCTGCTTCTTTGGGTCATGTACTCAAACATGAACATAACTTTGTTATTTAGAGCTCAGTTTTGGTTATGGTTTTCATTAGAAGAATTGATCTATCTTCTTGCTTTCCAAAATTCAATGTTAATGTCACTTGATATAATGCTAAATATATGAAAATGGAATATTGATTTTCATCACAACCTACAAAGCCATTACCATTCACTGCTTTGGCTAGAAACTAGTAATCTCCATTCCTGAACTCTTAAGGTTAAAGCTGCAAGTAATGTCCCATACCTGAATGGCCGTGTTCCATAAATTCTTATGAAACCCTGGTTTATCTTTTTGACCTTTGACTTTTTCATTGCCTTTATGTGTGCCTTTGAAAACACATAACATTTTCCATTTTAAACAGTGTTATACAGTATATGCTTCATGTCCATTTTATTTTCTCGTCTGTGAGTTCCCTAAGGAGCTTTGTGCGTCTTATTCATTGTATCATCATTAGGGCCTGACATGGTACCTGGCATGCAATAGGTCCTTAATACACATTTGTTGTATCAGTGACTGATGTGTTTTGTTGCTGTTCCGGAAAGCACAGCATCTTAACTATTGTAGGCTTTTAGTTGATATTTGTTGAATTAATTATATGATGACCTATGAAAGCCTTACGTGGACAAATATACACTTGGTGGACTTTAGAGTGCTTCGAAACGCCGAAAGTCCATGAGTTGCTTCATTTATTCTGTCAACAAACATTTGAGTACTTACTGTGTTCCAGTCACATGCGTACATGGTAATGATGAAAATGATAAGATCCTTTCAAGATGCTCACAATTTAGTGGAGGAATTTTAGAAGAACATTGCTTAATAAAAACAAAACTACTACTTCCAAGATTTAGTACTGGAAAGAGAATTTGCAGATGGAGAAGAATGGCTGGATTCCACAATCCATGTTGTCCCCTAAATTTTACCTCCCTTTGGAGGATTCTTTCACTCAAATTTCCCTCAATAGTGGCCTGATAATACTCATGTCTTCAAGCCCAAGAGTGGATAAAAACTCTTGCCTTCAAGTTCCTTTTACCTGAGTTCAAACAGCCTTGAACTTTACTCATTATCAATGGAGGAAATATAAAGGAATAGAAGAAATATAAATACAATCTGATTTACAAATATAGATTTCTGGTGCTACCATAGTACAGAGCCTGTTTCGGAAACTCTCCACCCTTGTCTGAGTCTATCTTTGCCTTAGTTGTAGTTGGGTTATATACCCAAAGGGCATACCAAACTTTGACACTTTGGATACCTCATTTCCCCGCTTCTTTTTGGACTGTCTTTTCTGAGTGAATGCCATTTTAGCATTCCCTGCCTAGGAGCTTCCTTTCAGATATCTCCACTCTGTTTTGGTCAAGACTTATGTTTAGTCTACAGCTTAGCAGGGGCTCCTTTGTTTAGTGACAGCCTCTTCAAGTGATGAAATCCAGGAGGGACCTCTCTCCTGGTGGGACCCAGTCCCATGCAGACCTTTGTATCTTCATAAGTTCTTTATAAGCATATCAACACAAGTCAGTAATCTTAGCATTCATACAGAGATTTTCAGTAACTAGGTAGTTTCTATTAGGCAATTATGGAAAATCATTCCCTCCCTAGGAGTTAACAACAGGTACAAACATTGTCCTCTGGGGTTGCCAATGAACCTCCTGCTTGTGGTTAGAAAACACCAATAATCTCTTCTACAGATGGGTGTTGCAGGGTGAGTAGGAGTTCTTGTGAAAAAGCCTTTCCTGTGGAGGAAAGGGCATTTTAGATAGAGGAGGCAAGAAAACTCCCATTCATTAAGAAGCACTAGAATGTCCTGATTAAGGGTAGACAACGGAGCCAATTGGCTTGAGTTCAGAACTCAGCACTCAGTGTCCTCACATTTTGAGGAATCTGGAAATTAGTGCCTGCAGGAAGAGTGACTCTGATAGCAAAAAGTACTGAACCCGTTGGATGAAAGATTTCAGGGTTCTTTTTCTGGATAAAAAGGCCTGTGTTGGTGGTAGGGTGTGGAGAAGGAGGCTGTGGGAGAGAGAACTATAGGGAAGAAAGGTACTGGCGAGGGCTATATGGGGAACTGCCTTTTTATATTATGACTTTATTCAGGGCCAATTTATACAACATAGTTAGCTGTGTTCTCTCTAAGTCCTGAGGGCAGAGCACAAACAATTGTTAAGAGGGGGGTGAGATTTTTATCCCAACATATAGAAATCTGACCCCCAATGCCTAGCACAAAGGAGATAGGCATTATATGTTCCTTGAATGAATTAAGCAATGACTGGTGATCACTTTTTGAATTGAAATGGACCTGAGGATGTTGTGCGATTCTGTCAGCAAAGGTATTTAAGTTGAGCCTGAGAAGCCGGGGTGACCAACAGTGCAATATGGGATGGGAGTGGGAATGGGCTGAAACAAGGGGGTTGGATTTTTTTCTACTTCAAGGGCCTTTTTTTTCCAACTCTAAATTACTATGATTCGAAGTGGCCATGACTACTTGACTATTTCCTGAAAAAAAAAAGTTAAAATTTTATTTCATCTTATGTATCCTCATAGTATTGGTTCATTTACCATTAATTCTTTGTATTATGAAATTGCACTATCTCAGTTCTCTGCTTCAACCATTAGTTTAACTGATAATTAGACCTTGGTGCAGTTCAGTTGAGCTCCTGAAAGAGTTTTATGTACCATGTATTTTATAACATTTGCACAATTTTCATAAGAAATGCAAATCAAAGTTTTACAGTGCCAAGCACAGTTCTGAAAGTTGAGGACTCTTCAGAGTGAGGGAGTGAGGGCTCTGAAGTCAGCAAAATTAGAACCCATCTAAACTAATTTTTGAGTGTGTGAAGTCTCTAATAGCATAAAATTAATACACTTTCCACTGCGCACTTGAGACTCGTCACTTGGTGGTAATAATTGTGGATTTCAAGGTCCCGAAGAGGGAACTTGTCCTGTATAATTGT